GAATAAAATAGAATATAAATAGCCTTTATTTTCCCGCAGAAGGGAAATTCATTTATTACAGCAGCATCCGTACAGTTTCACACACTAGTTACTTTACAAACTATAGATGTACACAAAACAAAAATTAACACTGTCTAGCCATAATACGACTAATAATAAAAAAATATATAAAGAATTGTGCAAGAATAGAAAACTATGTTTTGTTTTAGAGGCAGTAGACTATCAGAATCCGACATTAGGAATCAGAAATTGCCTGAATATGGTGATTTTCACTCCTCTGTTTCCTTGTCTCAGGTGGAGGGGGACCCGGTGGTGATGAAAGCCGACGGTTTTCCCACCTACCACCTCGCTAACGTGGTAGATGATCATTACATGAAGATCAGCCACGTGCTGCGAGGGTGCGAGTGGATCATCTCTACGCCCAAACACCTCCTCTTGTACCGGGCCCTCGGCTGGCAGCCACCGACCTTCGGACATTTTCCTCTCCTGATGAACAAGGACGGCAGCAAACTTTCCAAGAGACAGGCGGACGTTTTCATTCAGAGCTTCCAGAGGGACGGAGTGCTGCCAGAGGCTCTGCTGGATATTACAACCAACTGTGGGTCTGGATTCAGCAGTGAGTGGAGAACAAAACACAACAGGATCTTTAATAATCCGAATATAAAATGTACTAATTCTATCCTGTTGTTTGTGTGTAGCCAACCGAATGGGAAGGAGATTAGATGAACTGATTTCTGAGTTTGACCCTTCAAAAATCACAACTCACTCTGCTTTGTTGGATTTGGAGAAACTCCAGGAGTTCAACAGGTAAGCCTGAATTTGACCTTATATTAGTTTGTCTCAACTGTTTTCTACGGAAGAGCATTGCGTTCACCTAATAAAAAAATTAGGACTCCTGATCTCATAATTACGAGAAAAGATCTCATAATTCTTATCTCTGGAGGAACGTTGCAGGTTAAAGTCTTTGTATAACTTTAACGCTTCATTAGKGAACAAAATATTGTCATTTGACTAAAGGTTTGTACACATTACACATGAAAATATAAAATGTACACCCTGCACACCATTTAGAAGCTGTTTCTGATCTTTTTTTTTTTCGAAGGTCATTTTTGGATCCTAACTGATGTTCTGGTAAATTTGTCAGAATCCACCTGAAGCAGCAAATCGAAGATGAGCAGAGGTGTCGATTACTGATTAAAAATCTTCAGGGACAAATCCAACAGCACTACGCTGCAGAGATGGAGGAACAAGACGTGCTGCGTGACGATTATATCAAACGGGTGCTTCATCTCCGAAAGGTAACCTCATCGTCACATTCAACATAGAGTATCTACTGTATGCTTGAGTTGTGTATTGATACGCATGCTTGTATCTGTTGGACTAAATATGGTAAGTTTAAGACATTTTATGTAGTTATCTACTTAGAATTTAAATGTTTTAGTTCATACATCAAACAAATCAACAGTAACCCTTTCTTATATTTCTTTACAGATGTAAATGTATTGTTTTTTTACAAGTTGCATCCTTTTATGTGTTGGTTCCTCCTGGGAAACTGATTTAATTCTCATGTCTCACTTCTCTTCTGTATCAGCAGTAATACTGAAACCACCATCTTCTCTCTTCATCAGGGTCATGTTTCCTCCCTGAATGAGCTCGTAAGTCCGACTTACTCTTATCTGTGGGTGCGTCCTTCCTTTTCCAGCCAGCATGTGGCAGCAGTCACCAGCGAGGGCCGACTAGTTGCTTCATTAATGATGAAGTTTGTAGAAATAAAATCTCTTAACAGCACATTTCCTTCCACCTTAAAGCTGCAGCAGTTTATCACCATCATTATCTGTGTGTTTAGGTTATTAGAAGGACAAAGTGAGGAGTTGTCAGCAGACCAACTCAGTACGGACCTGAAGAGTTTGGCTAAACAAATGAAATCCACCAAGTACAGAGACGTGATGAAGCTGCTGCGCCTGGTGCTCAGCGGCCTGCAGGTACTGATCCGTGCCAGGTTGTGAGACTAGAGTTCTGTGAGTGTAGCAGAGGTGCCCTCTGCTACACTCA